AATTTGCAGTCCATTATTGTGCTAAACAAAGTTTGTCTTGTATAATGTTTAGCTCTGTGTGTGTGTGTGTGTGTGTGTGTGTAAAGCTTCATACCACATACCAGTTAAAAATCAAAGCTTTGGTACCAGAGGAACCTAGGTCAACAGCTAATTCTGTTACTTACTAGGTGTGACAAGTGCGGGATCATCCGCATAAGGCATAAGTTTTCTCATCTCTTGTATGACAATAAGAGCAGTTATCTAACAAGATTAGACTAAGAATTAAAAAAACAATGATGTATATTAAGCACTCAGCACAACACTGACACCAAGTAATAGTTTAATAAATGTACCTGTTGTTTCCTAATCCATATTAGCCTGAGTTCCCAATGGGCAACCTATGCCTTGCACTTTTTTGTATTCTTTTTCATTCCTACCGTTAGTCTATATGTTTTAATAATCGCTTGATTAATGAAACTTGATCGATTCAGAAATAATCTCATAGTTAGTTCATAATAAGGTCCAAACTCTAGATAATATCAAAAATGCTCTATTCATCATACTAGTTGTTAATTTTAACTTTAGTCAGTTTATACTTTACTCATCATGTACATAAATATAAATCTCCAAGAATTATTTTGAAAGATTTCACACCACTACCAATGACTAAACCAATATCCAAAATGCTTGATAGCTACTCAAAAGAAAATTAATCTAAAAAAATTGTTATGTATGCAATCACAAATCAAGACCTTAGCAAATTAAAGAATTCCCTTGTGGGACCTTCTTTTGCATAAAATTAAGCAAAATCTTTAAGCCAAGTTTCCAACTGGGCCTTTGAGTTATTCCTGTGCTATGAGATCCCCAACAGAGAACAAAGAGTTCTTGGTATTCTCAAGGAGAATATCAAGGGATGTAATGTTTCCAAACCAATAACTACTACTATTCTTAAATATTCAGAATAGACTAGACCAAATGGATAAAAGCCGATTCTTCAATTCTGTAGTTAGCAATACAAGTATAGTAATGACCCTCCAAGACTAGTAAATAAAAGGACAGGTAATGATAAGGAAGGGGAAGGGGGGAAAGGATACACTAGAAGGACATCAAAAAAAAAGCTTCAGGGCTAGGGATGTAGCTCAGTCAATAGTAGAGTTTTTGCCTCACATTCACAAGCCCTGAGTTGGACCCCCTAGCACTGGAAAAAAAAAAAAAGAAAGGGAAGAAGGAGAAGGAGGAGGAGAAGAAGGCTTTAGGAAATCATAAGCTCAATTCAGAAAGAAAGGTTTCTAATAACTAGTACTATGCAAGCTATACTCAAGTTTAACTATGCCATAATATGAACATTAACATGTCTACCATAAATATCACTCAAGGCAAAATACATATACCACACTTGAGTCAACTACTAAATAAAGAAAATAAATAAGGGAACAACATTTACTTGGGAATTATTAAAAATGCAGGTGAAATAACTAAAAGTTTGGCTTAAGATTTTTCCAAAGGCATGCTAGCTTGAGATACTTCCATCTAAATCAACGAAGGCCCCACAACACAGCTGTGTTATCCCACAACATATTTGTCTGGATAGAGTAGCTCTTCTAAAGACTTTGAACTATGACTATTTTAAATTTTCATTGAGATTTTAAATACAATATCAAATTAGTGAAATGGTATGAGTTAAGATAAAACCTTTACATAAGTACCAAAAAAATTTTACTTTAATTCATTAGGAAAGAAGTATAGAATAAAATACCTTAAAGTTAAGTTTTGTTTAAATAACTCTGAAACAACTATGCATAAGAAAAAAATAATGTTTTAATTATTCTATATATTTTGACAGAATAAAGAATGTGGCACTGGGGATGTAGCTCAGTGCTAAAGCACTTGCCTGGCATGCAGGATCCCTTAGGTTCAATCCCTATCACCACAAACCAAAAAATGTATATTATAATAATAATAATGTGGTTTATACATATATAGTTATTGCTCTTTCATAAACTATTTCTCAGGAACCATATCTGGATAAGATCAATCACTTTCCAAGGAGATCACTACCTGATTCTATGTCTGTTAGGCAAAAAGATAGAAAAGTAATGTTTTAAATTATTAAAGTACTGTTTAGAATATAATCACCAAGCTAAAAGTCACCAGTCCCTAACTCCCTTTATGTTTCAATCACTCTTTCAAAGTAAGAGCCCTAAAAAAAAAAAAATAACAAATGACAAATATACAAACACATAAGATTTAAAATATTTACTATGTAACATTATAAATAGTGGTCCCACATTATCAAACATTTCCACACTGAACTCTGAAATTGTAATATAAAAAAGGAAAAGATATGAACCTTTTCTAATTATGCTAAATGGATATTTATTTTGATGATGTGTTATCACCTGTCTCTTTACAAAAAACACTTTGCTCAAAATTAAGCACAAAACAGATGATATAAAGGCAATTTCTTCTTAAAATACACTAAAGTGAAACCCTAGGGAGGCAAACTTCAGTGGAAAAGAATATTTTCTACATGTTATCAGCAGCTCCTAAGAAGTATCAATCTGGAGAGGAAAACAGAAAAGTGACTCTGGCTGTCATTTTACAGACTTTAAGAATATTGACAGTTTTTAATCAGGAGCCAGAGAGAACAATTCTTTCACAATTCTTTCAAAAATTTTCAATTTTCAAAATGAAATTTAGATTTATTATAGATATTCTACTCCATTTCTATCCATCAACACTGCCTAGAGTGTGACATGGCAGTATTTTATAAGTTTGGTCAATAGCTCTACTTCCTGAAGTGTACAATAGCACTAATAAATTATACTCTGGGCTTAGCACAACATTTACAAATGGAACCCGAGATGAAAGCACTTCTCATACACTCTTAAGAATGGGAAGGAGTCCCATTCTTAAGGCAATTTTCATATGTTCTGATTTCATCAGTTTTTCAATTTACCTTTTCCAAGATACAAATACTACTGACTACATTTACATAAACTTAATAAAATTACCACAATTCAACTTGTATACTGTGTAGTTTTATAACCTTAAACTTTAAATGGAAATGATTAACTTGTTAAAATCAATATTGCAACAAAAGGAAAGATTAAGAACATTAGAAATAATTCCTAGGTTGACATTATTTTAGTAAATTTACTTTAAAACACTACAGCACAAATTCATTTTGTGTTATTGTCACATTTTTTCCCAATAAGAACTGCCTTTTTCAAAATATCATAAACAACTCAGAAACATAAATCTTACAAGGAAAGATTATAAAAGCTTATTAAAATAAAATTCCATCTGAAGTAATTTTCTTGATATGATGGACATATATACTTACTAGTAGTCAATAAATGCTGAAATTCTGAATTGCTCGTCTTTCTACCAATTACTTTTTAATAAAGCATTATTCAACTATTTATTGATCAAATTTTTCTGCTTGAGAAAGCAAGAATCACACTCCTATACCTTCTAGAAGCCAAAAAATTATCCTCCCCTTCCCACATGAAGCATTAAACCTTCAAATTACAGTCTTATCTAGCCACTTTTTTGGGAATCACTGTTCTTCACTATGATACTTACCATGTTTTTATTTGAAGAGTAAAAACTATTGAAGCATATAACTATCAATCTATCCTCTAACTCAAAGACACTATGCTCCTCATATTATTATTCTGTAATCTTTTATCCAAATAAATCACTGATAGATTTGCTGTTTCAAGTTTCATTTAATAGAGCTTGACATGTTTCGAGTAAATTAAATAAGCTGATCATTATGTTCTATGCCCTACAATTTTTAAAGTGCTTAACAAAGTTTACCAACATCCTTTTTCTCACTCGAAGAGTAAATATCCTGTCATATATCCCGGAAAATAGCTGCTTAGTTCTAAAGAATATAGCTCCTGAGCACTTCTCAGAGCAGCTGTTAGTAACTTCTAGATGCCTATTGGACTATCACTTCGGTTAAATACTAATGGGTCATATTGTTCCAGTTTACTTTTTCCTCTTTAACCTGGCAATTAGTGCAGAAAACCTACAGACCTATTAAAATAAATAAAGTATTAATAAATATGAACATTACTTTTGCACCACTACTTTTCCCAAAGAAATCATTTCAGGATCTTTATATTATTACTTAAACCACCACAGATTAGTTACACAAGACAATGAAAGGCTTTAAAGTGATACAAATTTCGACTTAGCCTTACCAAACATATTTCAAAGTTGTCAATAACTGCTAGAACATTCCAATTAAAAAGATGCTGCTGCAATCTACCAGAACTGTGCTGCTCAAATACAAGTCCCAAATATCCAGCACTTAGTAAATTTTCAGGTGTCTTTCTGGTAACCTGCTGAGATTTCTGCAGCCTCTGTTACCCAGCGATGCTACTACCACCAGCAAATAACTTTCCATCCTTTAAAAGGGTCACCTTCCCCCCCTCAAAAAATATGCATTCGACTTAGACGTTTCTTTATGACTAATACGGAACCACTAATACCACTAGGTATTATGGCTCTCAAAGAATCCTCTTTAGCAGCTTCCCCTGGGACGCGGTGCTCAACGGGGTTTCAACTGGTGAGTCTCGCTGCCAGCTGCCTTTGCAAAAGCAGCAGCACGGAACCATACCGCATTGCTGCTGCTGCAGACTTATTTTCTAGCAGCTTTAAAAAAAAAAAAGCCCAGTACCCTGCAGACCCTGGTGGCTCTTTTGTAGCACGAAAGAGAAACTACCGCATTGCTCAGCTTGGGAGAGCAGGGAACCCAAAAGAAGGGCGGGGAAGCGAATGCCGTCGAGAGGCTCAGTCGAGGGCGGGGTGAGAAAAGGAAGGCGACCGAAGTGTAAGGAACCGCGACGCAGCAGCCGTCAGGGAGACAGCGTCTGAGCGCCCAGCTCGGCATCACCCAATGGCCCGGACCGTCGAGTAGCCGGCGCCCGCCGGGACGCGGGACACTCCGGAGGATGGGGGTCCCGCCGCAGCTCGCCGCGCCCCGCCTGTCGCCCCCTGGCCCTCACCTGTCAGAAGCGCCGAGCTGCCGCCCGCCGCCGCAGCGGGAGAAGAGGCGGCTGCCCCGGCAGAACCCGCCGTCCGCCGCCCGCGGAGGTGCCTTGGCACAAGCTCGCATCCGTCCGCCGCTCCGGCCACCAGCAGCCCGAACACCAGCACTGCAGCCCAGCGCTGCCGCTGCAACCAGCCCGAGGCCGGGCCGAGAGTCGCGGCGGGATGAGAAATGAAGGGAAAGCGCGGCGGCGACCCGGCCGCCGGCCACCCGCCCGCTTCGCAAGGCGCCGCCGCCGCGGGTGACACCGCGGGCCGCCCCCGCCGCCTCAGACATGGGTTCCCGCCGGGCGCCAGCCTGGTCCCCTCGGCACCGGCGGCCTCCAGAGCTCGGGTGCCAGCTGCGTTCATTGGTTCCGGTTATTTAAAAAAAAAAAAAGTAGGGGGCTGAAAGGTACGGCGTCTTGGGGCCGGCGCGGAACCAGCGCTGCTGCCGCGGCGACACCGGGATCCGCTGCTCTGGCGCGGCCAAACACCAGCCCCAGTGCCCGCGCCGCCGCCGCGGCGCATCCCCCCGCCCCCTCCGGCCCGCGCTTGTCGTAGTACCACGCTCTGCCGGGACGCCTCCCTCCCCTCACACATTAGCTCGCATACCAATCCCCCGCCTCCCTCAGCCCTTCCACAGCGCAGGCGCGGTGCTACTGCATTGCGCGTGCGCGGTGCCCAGCCCGGCCCCTAGAGGCGTTCCCGGACAGCTGTGAGTGAGGCTGGGTGGTTCTTAACTCGGCAGCTAGGCAAAAGGATAGGGGGCGGGGAAGGAGGCGGTTTGTCCCCCTCCCCCATCCACACCTCCTCCAGGATTCAAAGTTGGGGCGGCCACAAACCTAGAGAAGAGTACCGACGTCCAAAGTCGCTTGGATGAGTTACAGCAGATTGGAAGGCAGAAAAAATAATTGCGTGGCTCAAGAAACGCTCATATCTGAAAAACAGCGGAGTCCCCCTGACTTCAATGTAGGTGGGGTTTACAAGTGGCCAGCTGTGTAGAGTGGAAGTTATTATATGCTAGTTTTTTATTTACTTGTCAAACATTGAGCAAAAAAAATTGCCAGGTGCCAACTTGCGTGGCATTGCTCTAAGCCTGTACAAATTGCACATAGTAACTCTAAAAGTATGGTTGTTATCATCGCCATGCTACAAATGAGGTAACTAAGGCCCGGAAATGTTAAATAGCTTTCCCCCAAGATCCCAGCTACTGAATGGAAATACTAAAAGAATTCACTCTAGCTTCTTACTTGCCCATTTTAGACGCTACCTGAACCTGACCCAGTCCCAGTCTTCCCTGTCAATTGAACTGGTTGCCAGAACAACTACAGTGTAGAGTAAACCTGGAATGCAACTACGTTCTTGTGCATCCAAGATCAGGTTTCTCTAGTAGATTCTGTTCAGAATGGACTTGAATAGTTTCACGAAAAAAGAACCAGAATATGTATGGGGGTGGGTTGTGCGAAGGGTAGTGGTGATAACTCTCAGAATGGAACCCAAGGCTTAAGCATGCTAAGCACCCTATTGCTAAGCTACACCTACAGACCCCAAAATATAAGATGTCGAATACACATATAGGCTTTCTCTATCCCAGGAGCACAAGGTTATCTAAGACTTTGAGAACAGCACTCTTAAGCACATAGGTCCCATTTATTATTGGTTTTTGCTATTGGCTTTGGGCTTCTTCTATTGGTTTGGTTACTTCCCAAAGTCAAGAAGATACTCACATTGCTCAATCTTCTGAAGAATTTCTTAGGCAGCCTAAAATAACCATGAATATTGTTCATTGTGGGCAGACCAATGCCCACTCAAAAAGAAAGAATCAGGAATATCTTTGAGGTTAATCTATCAACAATCATTTTCTGAGAGACTTCTTGCAGGCATGGTGTTCAATGGCAATTCTTTATAGAGCAACAGAAAGATTAAGGCACAGCAATGAAATCATACATTTGCTGACTGCCAACAAAGAGATACTTTGGTTAGGGGAACAGGAAAAGAGAAAATAACAGACTTGTTTCCTGTTCTTCAAAAAGCATCATTTCATTTATTTAGATTTACCAAGCACCTAGTATGTGGCAGGCAAGGAACTGGGCATTGGGAATTCCACAGAGAATTAAGAGAGAGACTTGGAAAGTCAATTAGGTGAACTTTCAGATATGAGATAGCTGCAGTCCCTGACTAGGGAATCTTGGTCTTGCCTAGCAGATAAAATTTACAACCATTAAACAATTAGAGGCTAACACAAGGTAGTAATCAGTTTCTAAATTGGCCAGTGCAAACTGTGTTATAGTAATAACAGTATAAAACCACGAACAATTAGCAAATCACTGGGGCCAAGATTCTTTAAACAAAGATGATGTAGCATTTTTTTTTTCTTCTTCTTTTAAAGATAGGGACAAGGTATTGGCACTGAAAAGCTACTGGATTTGGAATTAGAAATGTTTATTCTTCGCATGACTGGAGCCACGATACGGAACCAGCAATCACTGAAAAGACCTCTTAGCCTGGCATGGGCCAGGAATAAACCTATCTTTATACTATCTTTTTCATAGATACTTAAGTTTCTGACTATTAAATGAATAACCATAATGTGACTTATTGTTGAACAGAGGTGCAGTGTCACTGTGCATCAAAGAATAAACCTAGGTACAGAAAAGAGAAAGTTCATTGTTTTGGAAGAAATGCCCATCCTTAGAATTATAGACGTTTCTATTTGCAAGCCAAACATAAACACAAGGCTCCAGCTGCAGCAACAGCTTCCCTTTCTTCTCAGGTTTCCTTTGCCTTTCCCTTTTCTTGCCACCCAAAAGCTTTCTTCTCTCCCTTCCTCTTGACAAATCCCACTCGAAATATATCTGGAGACCCTCTGCCTTGTCGACTGCTTCTACTTCTTAACGTCCAAACTTAAGATTTACTATTCATTACTGTTTCATTTTCACCCACTCGTGACTTCAGTATTCTGATGGTCAGCCCTGATTTTTTCTAGTAGATAGAAAAACTGGTAGAAAAGGCAACTCCAACACTTTTCAGCTGTTAGATCCTCAGTTTCCCCACTTAAACTGTAAATTGTTACAGTCTCCCCCACTGTAAGTTGGGGACCCAGGAGTACCCGACACACTGGGTGGCGGAAGAAGAGAGAATAGGGAAAGACTTTGCTCGGTGTCCACACACAGTTATCTTGTCATTTTCCGGGAGAACTGGCCCCCCGGCCCTGGCCGTGTGTCCTAAGAGTGCTCTTGGTTTAGGATAAACGAATTGCAATACAGCGATGCTGTTTGATTTCACCTTCCTGTAAATAACCCCCAAACTCTTGGGGCGTGCCCAGCATAGATGCACAGCAGGATCCGAGCACCCGTCCTCTCCCTACACCGGAGGCAAACCCGCCCTTAGCCAGAGTCGGGCTGGCTCCGCATCTTCTTGTCCCGAGGATCCCAAGCGGCCAGGACAGCCCAAGACTCGCCGCAAGCTCCACCTTGAAGAACCGGATCTCCGCGAGTGAGGCAGGGCGCCTGCGCCACCCGGCAGTCTTGCGCATGCCCACTGCCTCGGGCCGGCTTTCCCCAGGTGCGCGAGCTCGGGCTCCCGGGGCTCTGCGCGTGGCCGATCCCCGGGTTTCCGCTCCCACTCCTGGGGCGGCGCTTCTGGACGCCCCACCGCCGCGCGATGACGTCACCGCGTGGGCGGTGAGGCAGCGGTCCGTGGGGAGCGCAGTGGGCGTGGAGCCCCACTCTGGGTGGAGATGAGCGGTGGGGAATTCCGGCTAGAGGTTAACCGGGAGGGGCTTCCTCAGGCGTCTCCTCCTCCTTCGGAGCTTCTCCCACCACGCTTTGACACCGGGGGCGGGTTGCGACTAAGATTTCTGGGCGTCAACTGAGTGTCCCTGGAATGTAGGTGCCGATCGAGCACCATGGAAAAGTCCACTTGCTCTTCTTGGTTCAGCCCCTTGGGGAAATCAAAAGAGCAGTCTTTGCCTCTGGAAATTCTGTTGTGCACAGGCCACTTATTCTGCTTTCCCGCCCATTCCTTACACAAGTTTGCAAAGAGAATTGAGGTCCTGGGAAGCTGTATCACTTTCTAAAGTGATATGGCTAATGTGATGGTTCCCGCATTCAAACGATGATGCTTCCGCGTATAAATGTTCCTGAAATTGTTGAATGAACTAAAAAGTGATGGTTTAGGTAGCTCATTAGCAAGACATTCTTCAAAAGGGGTTTAGTGAGAGTGGAGTTTCCAAGTTCAAGGTCAGCCTCAGAAATTTGGTGAGATCTCAGCAACTTAGGGAGACCCTTTCTCAAAATTAAAAGGAATGAGGGTGTAGCTCAGTGGGCATTTTTTAATCTGTTGGACATTCACATCTTTTCATAAATGAATGTTCAACCACAAAATAAAAAACTACTCTTTTTACACTAAATTCTTTCAAGCATTTATTACTTACATTCTTAATGGCTGCCATTCTAACTGGAATGTGATGGAATCTCACTGTGGTTGCGTTTCCCTAATTGCTAAAGATGTTGAACACTTTTTCATATATTGTTGGACATATATATTTCTTCTTTAGAGAAGTGTCTCTTTAGTTCATTTGCCCATCTATTGATTGGGTTAGTTGGGTCTTTTCTGGTAATATTTTTGAGATCTTTATATATTCTGGGTACTAATCCTCTGTCAGAAGGAGAGCTAGCTAAGATTTTCTTATATTCTGTAGGCTCTCTGTTCCTACTAATTGTTTTCTGTGCAGAAGATTTTAATTTGATGCCATCCCATTTATTAATTCCTGGTATTATTTCTTGAGCTTTAGGTTCTGTTGGGGAAATCATTGCCTATGCCTATGTGTTGGGTTGTTGTCCTTACATTTTCTTCTACAAATTGCAAAATTTCTGTTCTAATTCCTGTGTCTTTGATCCATTTTGAGTTGACTTTTGTGCAGGTTAGAGGGAGGGATCTAGTCTCATTCTTCTACCTATGGATAACCAGTTTTCCTAGCATCATTGTTTAAAAAGGCTATCTTTTCTTCCAAGTATATTTTTGGTGCCTTTATCAAATATCATATGACTGTGTCTATGTGCATTTGTCTTTGTGTTTTCTATTCTGTTCCATTGGTCTATATGTCTGTTTTTCTGCCAGTACAGTGCAGATTTTGTTACTGTATCTCCACAGTATAATTTAAAGTCAAGTATCATGATGTCTCCAGCATTGCTTTTTTTTCTTTTTCTTTCTTTCTTTTTTTTTTTTGGCTTAAAATTGCTTTGGCTATTTTGGGTCTTTTATTTATTCTTATAAATGAATTTTAGGACCATTTTTCTTAATTCTGTGAAGAATGTCATTGGTATTGGCATTTTGATGGGGATTGCACTGAACCTATACATCATTTTTGGTAATCTGGCCATTTTAACAATATTAATTCTGCCTATGCATGAACATGAAAGGTCTTCCCTAAGTTGAGAGGTTTTTTTTTTTCCTATTGTGAATGGAATTGTTGTAAATTCCTTCTATCCTTAGTCTTTTCATGAAAAATGCTGAATTTTGTAGAAGACTTTC